CCTTGTCTTGCCTTATCTTGCCATGCCTTACCTTGCCTTGTGTGTTGTCTTTTCTCCCTCCCTTACCTTGTAATGCCTTGCCTGGCCTGGCCTTTTTTATTGCCTTGCTCTGCCTTTCCTTTTTTTCTTACTGTCTTGCTAGCCTTGCCTTGCCTGGCCTTTGTTTTGTAGCATTTCCAAGTCGAGCACTTCTTTTTCTTTTTTTCTTTTTTCTTCTTTGCTTTTTTTCTATTCTTTTCTTTCTTTTTTCCTTTTTCCTTTTTTTACTTTGTCTATTGTTTTTCTTTCTTTTCTGTTTCTCCTTTATTTTCTTTTTTCTTCTTTTTCTTTTTTCTTTCTTTTGTTTTTTTCCTACCTTGCCTTGCCTTGCCTTTTTTTTAACTTGCCTTGCCTTGATTTTTTCTTCACTTGCCTTTTCTTGCCTTTTTTTTTTTGCCTTGTCTGCATTGTCTTGCCTATTTTTTCTTTCCTTGCCTGCATTGCCTTGCCTGAACTTGTCTATTTTTCCTTGCCTTACCTGGCCTTGCCTTGCCTTACCTTGCCTTCCCAAGCCTTGACCGTTTTTTTCTTATCTTGACTTGTTTTCCTTGCCTTTTTTTAATCGCCTTACCTTGCATGCCTTAACTTGCTTTGCCTTGCCTTCCCTTTATTTTCTACCCTTGCCTTGCCTTGACTGACGTTTTTTCTTGACTTGCCTGGCCTTTTTTCTTGACTTCTTTAATCCCATTTTCTCCCTTAGACATGTACCTTGCTTGCTTGGTTCTGTTTCTTTGCTGCTTGTGTTCTCTTGAATACAGTTCTCCTTTTTCTATCCCCTCGCATCTTTCTAAACTAGTTTCAATAAAAATTATGTTTCTTCACTAAAAAATAAAGGTTAAAATTGTTTATCAAAGGGACTTGACTAATTATAAAAACTTCTTTGGGAGCTGGCAAATACTTACATTGCCCTTGCAAGTGTAAGACTACCCCAGTGCCAGTCCCATGTACCAAGCACATGAGCCTAGCAACTGCTCTTTATGACTCTCCACTGACATGATGAATTTCCAGCCACACCACAAACAAATTTTTATGAGTATTACAACTCAAGTGTAAGACTAACAATGATCACTTTGAAGCAGGCAGGCAGATAGATAGGGAAGGATCCCCCATGACAATGAATTCCTGGAAACTAATAAAACCAAAAGCCCCAAAGCTGGCCAAAAAACCTACCTGGTGGACACAGGAGCTAAGGCCTCATAAAACCTGGCACCAACACAAGCCCAGAGAAGGCTTCCCCCACCCCCCCGCCCCCCACACACACACTCCAAGAAAGTCAGGCAGGAAGAAATGCCAGGAAAAAAATACCAAAGAAGACCATCAACAATTCCTACCCTACCTCCTTGGGAACCACCCTAGCAATGGACTCTTACCTATGGCAGCTTGGAAGGAAAAATATATGAAAGCCAACTTGAACAAAGGAAGCCTGCACATATGCTGCCCAGCCCATGTGCTGTCTGTGCTCATGTGTTGTTGCTGGGCACATATGGTGCCCAAGCACCTGAGTCACCCACATCTCCCATCCCATTCATACCTTCATATTCAATGCTGGGATGTGGATGAGTACTGACTGGATGTGTACTAATGCTGGTTGGGTACTGGGGCTCCCTTTCCACTCTGGAGAAGCACACATTCTCTCTTGAGCATGCTATTCTCTCTCTCTCTCTCTTTCTCTCTCTCTCTCTCTCTCTCTCTCTCTCTCTGTGTGTGTGTGTGTGTGTCTGTCTGTCTGTCTGTTTCTCCACCCCTTTCCTCAGAACTTTCAAATAAAATCTGTTATCTTCACTGCCTATCTCCTCCCCAATATTTTTTCTGCGAGACAAAGGCAAGAGCCTGAAATGCATGGAGTAAGGTCTAATGTCTAGAACTGACTTTCCTTTCCTGCAAGGATCAAGACTCGCAGGCCTAGATTTCCCCTGCCATTCCTGATCAGAAAAGGTGGATAGAGAAAACAAATGGCAGATTCTCTTCTCAAGGCTGCCACCACTCTCCTCCTCACTTCATCATAAGTCACCCAGACCCCCCACCACCATCAACTTCAACCAGAATGTACACAAACACTGTAATTAAGGAGTAGTAATCCTAGAGTGTGCAAGTACAACAGATACCTATAGGAGCACCACAACAACATTAGGTACAATTCCTGCTCATTGCAACATCAACAGAGAATAGAAACCTGATGGAAAAGACAGAACAGGTTTAAAATTAAAAAAAAAACTAATTTGTTACTGAGATACATCTCTAAATGGCCTGGTTTAACTAAAATATCAAAGATTTGTGGGTCTGAAAAAAAAGTCAGATTTCCGAAAATACTAACCAAGATCAATGGTATGGAGACAATGGCATTACACTACAAATTGTCCCTCAAAGATGCAACTTAAGAAGTCATTAATTACAAAATGCCATGGAGTGTAAGATATCACAATACTGAGACTGTAAAAATGTTTTCTAGAATTGAAAAAAAAAAGGTAATCATTTTTAAGGCAGTTATCACGTATAGTATATTCACGAATTCATTTAAATATTCTTAAAAGAAGGGACTTAGGGGATACCTCTTATACTACATTTGTTGGACCCAATCAAATCTTGTTAGATATTAATCTTTAGCCGTTCTATTCCCTCCTCACTCACTAGCATGTTTGAATAAGGAATCCAGCTTTTCTTTCTTTTCCTCAGCTTCAATTCAGCAAAAATGTATTTAAGTTTATCTTTCTCTTAAAAAACCTTTGCCAATAGGACCAGAGAGAGAGAGAACAGCAGGCAAGGTGCTCGCCTTGCACATGGCCAACCCTGATTAGATTCCTGGCACCCCATATATCCCTAGACACCACCAGGAGTGCAGAGCAGGAGTAAACCGTGAGCACTGCCAATTCAAAGGTCTTCAACCACCAGTCTGTGGGCTGGTTTGTAAGTGTTGAAAATTAAAAATTACTGGTCTAAAGCCGTGGTTAGAACTACCAGTTCATGAGCCATATCCTGTGAAGGTCAGAAGAATGTTAAAGCACACTGTTTTGGTTTTTGAGAACAACAGTTCAACCAAATTTTAAAATTCTGTAACATTTACAATCCACTGTGAAATATCAGTTGATCATCACGGTACTTAACAGTATTTGGGGTCAGGAAAATAACTTAAGAATGTGAAGACTTGTTGTTGGGGAATGTGCACTGGTGGAGGGATGGGTGTTTGATCATTGTGTGATTGTAACTCAAACATGAAAGCTTGAAACTATATCTCACAGTGATTCAATAAAATTTTTTAAAAGTTAAAAAAAGAATGTGAAGATTTGCCATTCATGTGTGAGGGCCTCAGCACTCACACATGAATGGCAAATTATTAAATTAAAAGTTTGTGGTTTGGATGGGTTTTGTATAACTTGTTTTTATGAGGGTTTGAGAGAAAACTAGAGGGTTAGTTTAAATAGTTATACTAAAAAGATAATTTTCTTCATATTTCCCTATTTTCTGTTCTCTCAAACAGATTTCAAGAGTTCAATTGGATTTTTTTTTGCCTTTAGGGTCACACTTGGCAATGCACAAGGGTTATTCCTGGCTCTGCACTCAGGAATTACCCCTGGCGGTGCTCAGTGGACCATATGGGATGCTGGGAATTGAACCCGGGTCAGCCGCGTACAAAGCAAACGCCCTACCCGCTGTGCCATAGCTCCACCTCCCCAATTGGAATTTTTTTAATGTGAGATTTATCTTTGATATATGAGAAAACAATGATCAACATAAGGCAAAGTTCTTCAGTGATACTTCCCAAATAAGTTATGTCCTCAATGTGTAAAACGTACAAAATCTGTTGTCTTCATATACCCTCCACTCACCTAAATCAAAACTCAGCATACTTCTGAAAAGGGGAAGATAACAAATATTTTCAATTCCTCATTAATTAATTTCTCTACCACTATACAACAATGAGACTACGGTACAAAAGCTGCTGTAGACAATATCTTAACAAGTGAACGTGTCTATATGTAAATAAAACCTTATTTACAATCCAGAAAATAGGCCACATTTGGTTTACAAGCCATAGTTTGTTGAACATTCTCCTAAATGTTCAAGACTTTCTGTTTTACTTTTGTTCTTGTGGGACACACCCAGAAATTGGAGTGGATGCCAACTGCTGAGGAGCAAGAAAGCCTGTCTCTTGACCTGGGGGAGAAGGCAGCTGGAATAGAGAAGGGATCACTAAGTCAATGATGATTAGCGGGATCTTTTGGGATGAAAGATGTGTGTTGGAAGTAGATAAAGGACCAAATGTGATAGCCTCTCAGTAGCTATATTGCAAACCCCATAGTAGAGAGAGAGTATGGGGAAAATTGTCTGCCATAGAGGCAGGGGGAGGGCTGGAATGGGGGGAGGGGTGTATACTAGGGATACTGGTGGTGGAAAATGTGCACTGGTGGAAGGATGGCTGTTCTTGGATTATGGTATGACTGAAACTCAAACATGAACACTTCTAACTGTACCTCAAAGGAAGGAAGGGAGGGAAAGATTTGGAATCTTTTAACAATTTATGTGATGCGTAGATGCCCAGTTTGGTGATGACTATTAAAATCGCTGTGAAAGAATTCAAGGCTACCTCTGAAGGGCTGGCGGTCACGTGCTCCGCCTTAGCCGCCTTTCTTTCTGATGGAAGACGTCATAAGGTCGGACTGACAAAAACGGAGTGACATTTATCTTTGCTAAATAAGAGTTTATTGTTATCTGCTATAAAGGTGATGTAAGACTTCTAGGTTCTTGCTTGCTTTTTTATCTTTTCCACGCACTTCCTAACTTCACGTTGCCCAAATGAAAGATGGAGGCCGCGGTTTACCATAGAGGCTGAAGCCCTAGAGCGGCCCGTGCGGACTGTGAGGTGGAGGAAGGGGCAATGTGGGCTGAGACTCACGCCTTCCCTCCCGGCTTCCGTAGAGGAAGTGAGGGGCGGGACTTGTAGCGAGTCCCTGCGTCTGCGCGAAGATGGTGGAGGAGGAGAGTGTCCGCGTGGTTCGGTGCGGTGGCAGCCAGTTGAACTTTAGGAGAGCGGTGTTCTCTGTGGATTCGAAGTAGGGGCCCGCCGCTTTTTGTTTGTCGCGGGCGGGTGAGGACAAAGAACTGTCAGGCGTACTCGATTCGCCTGCAGCCTTACCTGGGCTCGGTGCAGGGGCGCGCGTACGGATGATATGGGGCTTGCGGGAGCGAACGGTGTGGATGCAGTGAGAAGCGTGCCAAAGGCCTTATTGGGGTGGCATTGCAGCCTGGGCTCTTCCTTCTGGTCAGTTCACCCGCTGGCACATTGCGGGCGCCTGCGGGTGAGCCCCACGTGTGTAGAAGCGTGGGCCTGGAGTGGGTGTGTGCGCTCCTGAAGGCCTAAGCTCAGATAGAACGAAGACGTGGTGTTGATGAGCCTTTGGAGGCGCCACTTTCTGCAACCCACCCCCCTGATGGGACGTTCTGGCAGCCTTTTTACGTGAAACCTGGTGTTGTTTAAATATTGTGGGAGGTAAAAACAAACCTTTAACCCGGGATTTAATGCAGTTGGGAATCAAACTATTCCGAGAATTCAAAACCCCAATTTTGTATTGTACGACCTGTATAAGTACCGTCTTCTGCCTCATTGCTGCTTTGTAGGTAGATGGAGTGGTGCTTAGTATTCCATCTTAGCGATTTGTTGCAAGAGTTAAACGTCCTGTAATATATCAGCAACGTAATGATGGCACATCTAGCTGAATGTATGTCAGTGTATGTCACTCGTCGTCTTGGCATCCACTGGAAGCGACACATTGTAAAGAGGTTTTCAAATCACTTAGGTGTGATGGAGTGACACTTAGTAACAATTCTAGCCTAGAGGAGTAAAGATGATACATTTAGAAAGGTGTCCCCACGGTATCTTTCTTATAGGTGTATGGATGAATGGGAGTTGTTGCTGTTGAATGCATGCATAATTGAAAGCGATTTTAGAAATTGAATTAAAAGCAAGAAAATGAATCCTATATCGGCTGGGAAGCTTCCCAAGTTATAATCATGGAATCACTATTGATTTTATAATTCATGTTGTATTACCCATTAAATACGGGTCCAGACTAGGACTATCTTCAGTATAATATGCTTTGTGAACAAGTAGTTCCATTGGCTATTAGTGGGTGTTTGCTGGAACTAGGAAAGACTTTGTTGATAAGCATCTAATGAATCACATGGGGAAAAAATGAGGTTTTGGTTAAGAGGTCCCTAATATCTATCGGTTTTGTCCAAGACCTATTAGATGTTGGGGTTCTTCCTACTATGGACTGTTTCTACCCTTGTTCATTCTATTGAGATAGCAAGTTCATTGTTTACTATGCCTGCCACTCTCATCAGTCCTGTTTTATGTATTGCAAGCATAACTGTCACTGTCACTGTCCTCCCATTGTTCGATTAACTCAGGCGGACCCAGTAATGTCTCCATTTTGAGACGTGTTGTTACTGTGTTTGGCAAATTGAATACGTCACAGGTAGCTTGCCAGGCTTTGCCGTGCGGGCGAGATACTCCCCGTAGCTTGCCGGGCTCCAAGAGGGGCAGAGAAATCGAACCCGGCTCGGCCAGGCTGGCTGTACACAAGGCAAACTCCCTACCTCTGTGCTATCGCTCGAGCCCGTTGATTAACATTGCAAGCATACATGGCAAAAACTAAGATTCATTTAAGTCTTAGAATAGCCCCTTAGTAAGTACTGTCTTCATTTTACTGTGGTAAACAGTGAGATTTGCAATGTACAAAACAGTGAGCAGTTTTGTACATTCTCCAGTAATACATTGTGATCCCAGCATCCCAAACCTACTTGTGCTTGTATTTTGATTTGGTACCATATCCAGCGGTGCACAGGGGCCTTGCTCAAGAACTGTTGGAGGCCCGGAATCAGAATCAGGCATCCAGAATGTACACACATGCTGAACCCTTTCTCTAGCGACTGAGTTTGACTTCTTAAAAAGACTTTTTTTTTTCATCTCAGACTTTCATATCTGTTTGTGCCAAGTATACACAAATCTTGCTCTCCAGGAACTCAGTTTGACAGGGCAAAGTCTTATGCTGTGTGCTGAGGGCAAGGATTGAGCTAAATAAATCCACCCACGGTCCTGGACTGGCCCTATTTATATTAAAAAGATGAAGGAAGGATGTCCTTGGAGGGGAAAACTTAGCTCAATCCTAAAGATGTAAAAACACACACATACTTTGAATATACGATTTTTAAACTTGTTTTGAAAGGACCCTCTGGTAACAGTTTTCAAGGACAATAAAAAGATCCTACCAGCTATAAAGTACATGAGACTTAGTATTCTTATTTCTTTTCAGGTTTATCTTCTGTGTTTCTGGAGACTTTGTTAAGGTTTATAGCACAACTACAGAAGAATGTGTGCATATACTGCAAGGACACAGAGATGTTGTGACAGGAATCCATCTCAACCCCAACAATCATTTACAGGTATCAAACATTCATATTGAGAATTTTAGTATTGTCCTTACTCTTGCCAGAAAAAAAAATTGAATTGGGTTTGGCTGGGACGCTTGCCAGGTTATAATCATGGAAACACTCTATTGATTTTCTAATTCATGTTGTATTACCCATTAAATACGGGTCCAGCCTAGGACTGTCTTCAGTATAATATGCTTTGTGAACCATTGGCTATAAGTGGGTGTTTGTTGGAACAAGGGGTTCTTGGTTAATGTGTAGTTTCTGAAATTAAGCATTAGGAGCAATTAAATGTATGTAGATCTTAGGTTCCATTTTATGCAATCTGAATATCCAAATGAAATTAAACTATTTTGTGTTTTGCAAACTTACTTGGTCTCTGAATGTTTTTATTTCAGCAGGACATTTTTTTCAAAGGTTGGCAGCCAACATTAATTTTGTTGGTTAGCTGTTAGTGGTTGGGCTCTTTCAGGTTAATCCAGGTTACTTTGTATTATTATCATTGCTATTATTTTTAGACTTTGGTGTCAGTTCTGAAATTAATATATGAAGAAAACATAGGCATTAATGCTCTTTGACTTCATTTATTAATGTTTTGTGGGACTCTACTCCAACATCAGGGGAAACCAATAAAAACGTGACTAGATCAAACTGAAACATTGAAAAATAAATCCTGAAACGTTTCTGTATAACAAAAAAAAAGTTAATCAAAGTGAAAGACAGTACCAAATGGGAGAAAATTCTTCTGCAGCATTCTTCTGAAAGGGGTTGATAAAATATGCAAAGAACTCATACAACTCAGCAGTATACAGCTCAATTGAAAAATGAGCAGATCTCTTCAATTGGCACTTCTCCCAGGAAGACATGTAGATGGCCAGCAGGCAAGGAGCACACAAAAAGATGCTTGTTTTATTAGAGGGATGCAGTTCAAAGCATCCATGGTTCTGATGCATAGTCATTGTAGTGTGCATTTGGGGTAATTTTATTTGGTTAGATAATGTCTTCATGTCTTTCTTATTTAAATTTTTGTTCTCTGAATTTATGTCCCCATAGTCACTTTTCCCCAAAATACTTAACATTCCTTATGATAAGCAAAATAATGTCACCGTAATGGCAACAGCAGCTCTCTCTCTTTCTCCCTCTCTCCCTTACCCTCTCTCCCAAGAAGCCCATTGGGACAGAAATGAAAGGACATGTTTTAAGGCACTCTGGGGTGTTAAGATACATGTTTCATCAACTGTTGGGGGGTCTCCTGCACTGAGGTTCAAGTAGAGGGTGAATATTCCAGAGCTGTAGCACACTTTGACTTTACCGCAGCAACCACATGTATAATTTTGATTTTTAGTCCTGGGTGTGATGGGAGGTTTTTTTTAAAGCAAGATATTTTTCAGATACTTTGGAGAAAACGTTGTTTTGGTGCTATACCCCATTGTGCTCAGGGTTACTCCTGGCTCTTGCCTCAGAAATTACTCCTGGCAGTGCTCTAGGAACCAAATTGGATGCTGCGGATCAGACCTGGGTTAGCATGTACAAGGCTTGCACCTTACCTACAGTATTATTGCTCTAGCCCTGAGGAAAAGCATTTTAATATTTTTTGTGAAGATAAATACATTACTGCCAATTAAAAGGGTTGGGTTCTTGGTTGCTTTTTATAAGTTAATGCCTCACCAATTCCCTCTTGAATACTGTCTTCCTTGTTTTATTCAAAATTAGAAATTGATTAATTTGATTCCATTAGAGAGTTGTGACAAAAATTATCTATTTTAAAAAACTGATTCAGCCTTTTAAGAAATTAATGAATAGAAAATGTTTTCTGTAATCAATAATTATTAATTTGCTACTTGATGGATTTGTAAAATCAGTTTTGTGCTGTTTCTACCCTTTTAGTTGTATTCTTGTTCCTTTGATGGCACAATTAAACTGTGGGACTACGTAGATGGCATTTTAATAAAGGTAAGTGAATCTTCTATTTGCATTTGGTGACATGAATGGTGAAATAGTGACATTGTTCTCATGTGAAACCTAGTTTCTATATAAGCTTCAAAAACATCAAAGTTGCACACCATTAAAACAAGGCAAATTTTTGCATATGAAAATAGCTTCTGGTAAAATATGTCCAATTAAACTGGAAGAAATATTTGCAAATGAACTTTTTTTTTCAATGTAGGATGTTTCTACTACCAATGAGGAAAAATTGTATAATTGATAAGTAAAGAAATGGAGTAGATATTCAAGTGATCTTATGCACAATTAGAATAAGATTGAAAATAATAACTTTTTCTATAGCAGTCTAACCTCTTTTGGTCTTTGTAACATGACAGGAAAAAAAACTAAATGTAGCCTTGCTATCAGGTAAAATCTAATAGAATCCCATACAACCATTAGGAAGAAATATGTAGAGCTGTACATATTAATTTGAGAGATTATTCAAAAGTATATAGGGTATCCTTTCATTTTTGTAAGTTTACATACTAGTTACAGTGTGTACAACATATAGTATCTTATATAATAAAGAATGGTCTTCCCAGTACCTAGGTAAAGTCTTTTAATCACAATACATAGTAATGTCTTTCTGGAACAAAGCTCAGTATCTATTCCCAGCACCTTTGAGCTACAGTCTTACTAACTGTAGTCACAATGCAGTATGTTACATTGCCAAAATTTAAGGTTTTTTTGTGACTGGAATTTGTGCCTTTCTATTCCCTTCACTCACATTGAAATAGACCAGATATCTGATGCTGTAGGATACAGCAGGGAGAAAGGTTGATAGAAATCACTGCCATTAATAGAACTTAGACTGCTATATGGTTCTTTTTTCAGGGGATTGGAGGTGGGGAGACAAGAAATCAGTTGGTTTTTATTTTTTAAATCTTTCAGACTTTCATAATTGGACAGAACCTTCATGCCCTCTTTGCTCTTGCCCAAGTGGAAGATTCTGTTTTTGTTATTATAAGCCATGAAAAACCAGGTATAGTATAATTAGTCTGATTTAACAAAGTATTGACTGGCTCTTTTTACTTTCCATTGTACAGTTTCTCATTATACAGTTTTAGACTGAAGTGTAAATAGGTTTTGGAATTGGCATTTAAATTTTATCTTAACTTTTTACTTGCATTTATTTTGGGAATACTTCATATCAGTTCTGAAATATGCAGTAAGGAAACTATGATTCTTTATAGGTGATTATAAAAATAGATTGCAGGATTTAAATTTACAGTTATTTTTGCAGACATGGGATATAGTTTTTCTTCTTACTGAACTTAGTTTTTAATAAGCAACTCTTTTATCACGGAAACGTTTCAGGGTTTAATTTATTTTTTAATGTTTCAGCATATGAAAATCCACTGCATAAAAACGTGAATCAGCCTGGAAAATATTTTTGAGGCATCTGTTTTATATCCTATGTACCTTTCTTTGTTTTCTCTTTGTTCCAAACCAGATTTCCTGATAAAAAACTTTATAAGCCCTGTTGAAATAGGTTTCTGTCATGAATATGTGCATACTCTTACTTTTTATTGAGAAGATTAATATTAAGATAGCCTCCTTTGGCTAGATCTTTTTCAGCTGGTTTCAGTGAAATTGCCAAAATCAGCAAGCCAGGAAATTGAAGCTAAGGAAGTCTCTGTTGTTTTGGATTACATTAACCAGTCACCAAAATGCACTGCCTTTGGAAATGAGGTAAAATTTATTTTGCTCAGTTTTCGTTTTGTTTTGTTTGCCCCAAAATCTCTTTCCTACAGTATTTCCTTTGAGCATTTTATATCACAGTGATGATTTTAAGTTTACCTTTTGAATTACAGTATTTTTGTTAGAATCGTCTTTTTCATTGTTATAGTATGTATTCATGGTTCAAATTTTAGGGCTATTCTTATTGTATATTGCATTTCATTGTTCTGATATACCTAAGAGTTATCAAAATAACAGTGTTTTGGCATTTCTGCTGGTTTACTTAATTTGTACTTTGGGAAAAAATTGCTTGTCCTTTTACTTTTAGACTTTGTGTTTGTAGAATAGGACCTTTCTATTGATAATATGCAGAATATAGGGGATGTTTTTCAACATAGAAAATGCAAAAAATTATAGTAAAGAAAGTTAAGTCCCTCTGGTGATTAAAAATTGATGGAATCTTTTTTAATTTTTTCCTAAGTGTACGTAAAGTAGCTTTTTTCAAACTGAATTAGTATCTGAAGACTACTTATCCTATTTAATGTTGTGGCATGATTGCATATCTAAATGTTAGAAATAATAACTGATGTTCATGCCATCATTTTGTCATTCTATTAATAATTATTTTAATATGAAGTATCAGTCCTGAAACATTGTGATGAAGCGTATCTTTAAAATTAAGTTTTCTAATATCATTTTGATTTTTTCCTGGAAAGAGTTAATTTCTTAGACTAGAGAAAACTTTCAGTGTCTCAGCATTATAATTCTTTACCATCAAAGTCATCAGGTTAGGTACAAATTAAAACCACAACAAGAACCAAATGGTCCACTAAGCTCAAAAGTGGAAATAGCCCAAATGTTTGTCAAAAAGAGAAGAAACAGATTGTGATAACTAATTTGTTTGAATGCTACTTCATAATAAAAATGAAATAATGATGCTCGTAGGAGCATGGATGAAGTTCAGAAAGGTGATTTTTGAGCTTAAGAATCCAGACACAAAAATATATACTGTATCATTCAGCTTATGTGATGTTCTAAGGCATGAAGAAAAGTAAACTGTGTTATACATGTTGATAGTGTCTGGGAGGAGTAGGAATATTGGGGAATCACTGCAAAAGGAAATAAAAAATATTTCCCAAGGCCAATAAAAAGTTCTGAATCTTATAAGCAAATATGCATTTGTTGAGCATGATAATTCATTGTATGTAAACTATGTCTTGATTTTAAAAAAGTTTAACTATTCAAAAAGTGATTAATTTTGGGGTTTAGAACCGTAATTGCACTGTCCTCCCGTTGTTCATCGATTTGCTCGAGCGCGCCCAGTAACGTCTCCATCGTGAGACTTATTGTTACTATGTTTGGCATATTGAATACGTCACGGGTAGCTTGCCAGGCTTTGCCATGCGGGCGAGATACTCTCGGTAGCTTGCCGAGCTCTCCGAGAATCAAACCTGGGCCGACCAGGTCAGCCGCGTGCAAGGCATATGCCCTACCCGCTGTGCTATTGCTGCAGCCCAGAACCTTAATTATTTTTTAAAAGATAATCCTTTCTTTAGCTAAAATAATAAAGCATTTTCTGTTAATACCCTTCTAACCTGTCTCCTGCAAAATCATTACTATGTTAACTTTCGTTTTTGGGGGATTACACCCCACAGTATTTAAGGGATATCCCTGGTTCAGTACTCAGGAGTGACCCATGTCTGTGTTCAGGGTTTGTGTGTGTGTGTGTGTGTGTGTGTGTGTGTGTGTGTGTACATGCTGGCCAGATTTGAACTAGGGTGGGTGTGGGTGTGGGTGTGTGTATACACAATTGCCAGATTTGAACTGGGGTCCAATGGGATGCAAAACAAGTATTTTTTTAATCCCTGTTCTATCGCTGGCCCCTTATATTGACTTTTGTGCTTATATTTCTCCTTAAAGAGTATTGAGGATTTTTTTTAAAAAATGTTTTCTTTTCTTTGAACCACCAGGGAGAATATGTTGCTGCAGTACGGGACTTTTACTTATCTGTTTATTTTTTCAAAAAGAAAAAAACATCAAGGTAAGAGCTCGTTTCCATTAGCTTAACTTTATATTCTCAGTTTTTTGTTGCAATTTTATTCTTACACAAGTGATCAAGCAATCTGAGAGTATTTCAGTTTTAGTTATGATAAAGGTAGAAACTTCCTTTAACTATCATTTCTTACCAAAGACTTCAGTAACCAACGGAAAATGTGTTATTCTTTTTTTTAGGTTTTCTTTATCATCATCAAGAAATAAGAAACATTCTAAGAATAATTTTACATGCGTAGTCTGCCACCCAAAAGAAGACTGCATAGCAACTGGTCACAAGGATGGCAAAATTCGTCTTTGGTCTGTTAATTCATAGAGCATGGTGATCGTTCATAGGTTTTATGTTAGCCTTTCAGAATGCAGCTGCTGCTGGGTCCAAGGAATGGAATGGTATTAAAAAGCCATTGCAGTAAAAGAAATTAACATTTTTGACTTCTTTTCTGTGCTTTACATTACATTGACTTGCTTGGTTGGGCTTGAAAAATTCCTTGTTGCCTATTAAAAACTGTACTGAAAAGAGCTTTGTCAGCCTTTCCATCTACAGGCAACAGTGACAATAGTGAATATTGAACTTAGAGGATACCATAATGGCATATTGTTTGTATAAGTGACCAATTGGAAGTAGAAAAAGCCCTTTTTTGCCCATTAAGACTCAACAACCTTGGTATCATGATTTATTGTGTTTGGCATAAGCTGTGTTCGTGTGTGCTCTGTGATATGCCATTATTTTCCTTAGTATGTCTTTGTCAAATTACGAATTTGACTTCAGTAAGAGAATTTTTTTAAGTACTATTGTTTTATGACCTGTTTCAAGTGTACATCATTGTAAATCGGCATCAGTATATACTATATTTTACAGTATACTCACCTCGAAAATCTGATTTTGTCTCATCAAACATTTGATTTCTTTAACCCAATCTATCCTTCCCTCAACTTCTCTCTTTTTAATTGGATGTCCTCATCTAGTGTGTAACCGTTTCTGCTTTTTTTTTTTTAATTTTCCATTTACTTGGGAAATGATTTCCACTCCCTCACTTGTCTATATTTACCTATATAGTTTAAATGTGTTCTTGTGGGTACCATATATCTGGGCTTTATTCATTAATACATCACCTCCCTCTGCCTTTTGATTGGTAAGTTCGGTCCTTTTTTTTTTTTTTTTTCTCCTGGTGTTTTGAGCTAAAGCCACTAGTGCTCAGGGCTTACACAGGGCTGTGCACTCAGGGATCGCTCCTGGTGACTTCCGGGACTATACAGGGTGCCAAGAATCAAGCCCAGGTCTGGCAAGTGTAGGGCAAGGTGCCCAACCTGCTGTATTATATCTCTTGGCTCTAAGTCCATTGTTATTAAAGGTGATTCTTATATGAGAGCTTGGCTACTATTATTTTATCTTACATTTTCTAATTCTTTGTCTTGCCTTGGTCAGTTTGGGGTGGGCTGTCTTGGATTCACTTTATTGTCTTGTTGCTTTTTTGACCACACCCTAAAGTACTCAGGACTTTTCCTTACACTGCACTCAATGGTTGCTTCCTGGCAGTAATCAGGGAACAGAAGATGGTGCCAGGGACCCAAACATGCAGTGTGGGCACCTTGTCTGTGTATTATCTCTTCAGTCCTCTTTTCCAGTTTAGAAGATCTCCATTCAGCATTTTTTGTAAGGGAAATTTCATTGTTGTGAACTTCAGCTTTTAATGGAGAAGGCTTTATTTCTCTCTAGCTGCTAAAGATAGTTTTGTGGGCTAAGGTATTCTTTTAGCTTTTAAAGATTTTATCTTTGAATAATTTGAATATGTTACTCCAGTTTTATCTAGCCTTTATAGTTTTCACTGAGAAATCTGGTGGTACTGCTCTTTGTTACTTGCTTCCCCTGCCCACTAGACCCATTTAATATTTTTCATTGTCTTGAACTCTTGGTAATTGCACCAATCTGTGTTTATGCTTCCTCGTATTTAGATTACCAGCTGTTTTCTTAGGTTTGTAGACCTCTATATTCAGTTTCTTCCTGGTCTGGGGACGGTTCTCCTACTTTTTTTAATCAATTCTGCTTTCTTCCTGATAGGAGGAATTTTGATGATGATAAGAACTACACATACACCACCTTACATTGGCACCATGATATGGTTATGGATTTGGCTTTTTCAGTAACGGGTAAGTGTAAATCCAGTGTTTTCTGTGGTGCTGAGGATTGAATCCAGTGATTCACACATGCACAGCAAGTGCTCTGCTGCTGAGCTAAGTCCTCAGCCCTGCAAGTTTAATAATTAAAATGAACATGTGAAGCATGCAAATTAAGCTAGCTAATCTTTTGGCTCACTCTGTAACTTGAATGGTTTGCATTGTATGGGCCAAATGAATTGTGCTCACTTCACCTGTTTGCTTTTGCTCTGCACAAAGCCATATTCTTACAGTGTAAAAGCCCTTCATCATAGGTGAAGGGCTTTTATGCTTAGCACACATACCCAATATGAGCTATATTTTTTTAAACATTTTTAAAAATTTATTTTTATAAAGTTTTTCACAATAATTGATTACATTCAATATTACAACACCAATCCCACCACCATTATACCTTCCCATCACCATATTTCGAATTATTCCAACTGGATCCCCAAAGCCTGCTCCCAAGCAGAAAATAATTGTTTATCTTGTATTTCTTGTTATGAATAATCAAGATGAATGAAAGAAATGAAGGATGAATGAAAAACATTTCCTTTGAGGAAAGTGTGTGAAATTATTGATTATTGTATCACCTGGAGCCATTAAGCCCTTGTATAGAGTATGAGATGTCTAAGAATTCTAAAATTTTAAATAAGGTGATACAGCTATAATTAAATTTTAACTGGATGGTGAATCTGGAGTCCAGAGGCATCTCTGTATCATGTTGCTCTCTTCTTCTGAGGTTTATTAGTGAGTCTCTGGATCATGGACGTTAATGAGCATAAATGGCACTAGAGGCAGTTCGTGGGCATGACAGCCAGTTACTGGAAACACAGAGAATTGGGGGGAGGTTGCCCATTCACGACTCCATGTAGATGAGCTGTATTTTTAATGGAAGCTTGATATAACTCAAACATTTTATTCTTAAATGTTACAAATAAGGTGCAGATGGCTGATGCTTCACACCCAATGTTTTAATAAACCTTGGCCCTTAAGAGGTAAATGTATCATTTCTTTCCCACTGTCCTTGTTCTTTCCATGGGTGGATGAGAAGGCAGCAGTCTGCTGAGTGGTGGTCGTGAATCTGTCCTTGTGGAGTGGCGAGACGTAACAGAAAAGAACAAGGAGTTCCTTCCCCGTTTAGGAGCAACTATTGAACATATCTCAGTCTCGCCAGGAGGGGATTTGTTCTGTACTTCTCATTCTGACAATAGTAAGTTTTGAATTCTGAGGAAATTTGTATGGTGTCATAAATTAGCACCTGTGGCAAATGGAAAATCAGAAACCTAATTTCTGATTAGGTGTAAGCGACTTGTATTTTTCTTTTATTTCTCTGTCCCCATTCTACTCTTTGAAGCCATTGGAATCCAACATTTTCAGAATTTCTTTTATAAAAATGTAGGTCTAAATGTATTTGGTTATGGATTTTGACATAGGCCCTTGCGCTTTCACATGTGTAACTGAATTGCCGTAAGAGTGCTATGAGATTCTATACTGTTATTCTCTATGCAATGGCTGAGATTCTGGCAGAAAATGAGAAGTCTTATATCCTACAACACTTTTTGCTTGTACGTTCATTACTCACATAGATAAGATCCAGCCTGTTTATTGCCTGCTTTTTCTGAGAGAGAGAAAGAGAAAGAAAGAGCAGAACTAAACTATACAATTCAGTAGTGGCATACTTTATTTCAAATTAAATCATCTCTTAGGATCTATGTTTGTGAATTGACACTGAAAATATTAACAATTAACATTCATAGGCATAGATACAGCAAACAAATCTTGATGCCAATAGAAAGCCCCTAGTCTCAAACCCTGGTTTTTTGTTTTGTTTTGTTTAGCTTAAATGCAAAAATATATTCCTAACAAATTATTGGTAACAATTAGTACCAACTAGACTTTAAAATTATTTTAACATAATATTAAGACTTAAAGTAACAAGTACATTTAGCTTAGTGGTTTTGCCTTTTGAGTATATTTCAGAATAATAGGAATCTTGACACTCTGCCCTATTTCTATTTAAAACTTTTTTTTTTAACTGACAGAGATAATGATCATTCATCGAAACCTTGAGGTATCTGCAGTGATTCAAGGTCTAGTGAAAGGTATGCACATCCCAATAGATTTAGTAATTTTAGAATTACTCCTGTACATTCTGAAATTGGACATGTATCTGATTCTAACTTTTGTTTTTCACTCCTTTTCAGATAAAAGTATTTTAACTGGTTTGATGGTTGATCCAAGAACTAAAGCTTTGGTTTTAAATGGAAAACCTGGTCACTTGCAGTTTTATTCTCTCCAAAATGACAAACAGCTGTACAATGTAAGTTTTTTGACCCATTTATTAGCCTTAAAATTTGTGAAATTTCTTTGCAACATGTCTGGCTTTAAATAATGTGTTTCAGTGCCTTTATGAGAATATCCTTGTGGTGATATGCGAACCTTAGTCAGTATAATCTGTCATTACTTACCTTATTTGTTAAGTTTGGCAGCAGGAGGAGTGGTGGGGATAGAGACTCCCGAGTACTGCTCAGGACCCAAGGTCTCTCCAGGTGATACAGTTCAATGACCAGAAGGTGTGATGCTGCAGGTGCCAGGGAGAGCCTCGCTGGGTGCTGCTGGTGGGCTCCAGGACGTACCTCTTGATGTTTGTGGGCTCTGGGGCTGTTCCTGGTGATGCTCAGGAAACTATGTGGTGCCAGGATTGAACCAGGTTTGGGCACTCACTTAGCCATGCTGGACTATCACCCAACCCTGTTTACTGCTTATTTCTAATGCAGTTGCAGATTTAAGTCCACATTGCTATTCCTGTTGGCTCTTTTTGTCTGTCTTGTTTCAGACTTTAATTAGCTGATACATACAGCGGTAGGGCATTCGCCTTACAAGCGGCCAACATGGCCGACCCGAGTTCGATTCCTCCGCCCCTCTCGGAGAGCCCGGCAAGCTACCGAGAGTATTCGATATGCCAAACACAGTAACAACAAAGTCTCCAATGGAGACGTTACTGGGCCCGCTCGAGCAAATCGACGATCAACGGGAGGGCCTTTACCTTACATAATTATGCCATAGAATCACAAAGATAGGAAATGAGAATATGTGGCTTGAAGGTGCAAATATGCCTCTGCTTTACAATCGTCTCTATAAGCTGAAGTTAAAGTTTTAGTGGAGATTAAAGAGAAACACTTCCTAATTCCTGATAAATGCAATCCAGATTCCCATTTTTTTCCTTATCTCCTTTAATAGCCTTAAAAGGTTTTTAGCATAGCAACTTAACAACACTATCCCTTCCTTCCCTATATCTTCCTCTCTACAAAATTTTAAAAGAAATAAACATTTATCTTCTCATATTGCTAAAGCAAAGCCAGATAATAGTATTCACTTCACAAACACACACACACACACGGAAATTGGAGAAGAGAAACAACCATAAATAAAATACTGGCTGCTGGGGCCAGAGTGATAGTACAACAGGTAGGGTGTTTGCACGCTTTGCATGTGACCAGCTCAGGTTCAATCCCCCTTACCCCGTGTGGTCCCCAAGCCCACCAGAAGTGATTCCTGAGTTCAAAACCGGGAGTTACCCAGAGGACTGCCCAATGTGGCCTAAGAACAAACAAAAATTCTCATTACTTAAAACAATGCCCCCCTTTTTTTTTTTCACTTAAAAATTTGTTACTGTAGGTTCTAGTCACTATATCATATGAATGTAGTTATATTCCTTAAAACTATCATTTCTGTATGTGTGTGATAAATATAAAATATAATCATTTTGAATTTTTTTAAAACCCATCAGTTAGATATTATACAGCAAGAATATATCAATGACTATGGTCTAGCACAAATTGAGCTAACGAAGGCTGCATTTGGCTGTTACGGTAGCTGGCTTGCAACTGTGGAACAACGTCAAGAAAAGGAAATTGAGCTTGAGTTGCAAATGAAACTGTGGAACTATAACAAGAAAACACAAGGGTAATGCTTCCTATTCAACTGTTGAATCTCTCAATAGACTCTATCTGACTTTTCTATGGTTTCAGTAACCAGTGTTTGATATGTTTTGGTAAGTTTTACCTTTAGAAAAATAAAGGCCGTGCTATCCTAGCGTTTAAGCTTTCAGCTGTGAGAATGCATTGGTGACAGCCAAATTATAATGTCATCTTACTGCACGGACGAGGAAACATAAAAAAGTAACACCGCAAGGACAGTACCTGATGGAATGCAAGTCCAATTTTAGAGTGCTAATGTCTTAGTTCCTTTGCTCCTTTATTAACTTTAAACTACTTTCTTGAGGAATAAGGGTGCAGTAGTAAGTAGGTCTCCAAGAAGTGGTATGGTATGGTGGTTTGGCACCTTTTTACACCCATGGGGCAGCATCACTCTGCAGACTATTACTTAAAAACTGCTGTCAGTTAAGTGGCACTGTTATTTTGCAGGTCAGCAGGAAGTTCTGTGGACTGACACCAGTTCTGCAGACTGACAGTTGAAAACCAGTGGAAGCTTGTACGTTTTGATTAGATAGAAGACTCTTAGTATCTCTTCCTATAATAGTTATTCATCTAGTCCTTGCTTGAATTCACACACACACACACACACACACACACACACACACACACACACACAACCGCTATTAGATAAGCCTTCTGTCTACATTTTACAGGTGAAAAAAGGAAACAGGTCCGGAAAGATTAAGTGTGATTTCCCTCAGGTTCCTGCTCTTATAACCTTGACCTTTAAAATTTAAAATTATTTTTTGGCCTGATGAATAGCACAATGCTTGTGTAGGTTATCTTTAATTCACAGTGGTGAGAGGCAGTTTTCAGTCACTAATATTGAGCAGGTACTTTTCTCTTTGTGATTTCTTACCACAAGCAAGGGGCTTCTTGGCCAGTCTATGTTTTCCTTATTTATATAACAAGAACACCTCAGTTCTGTACTGAGTGTTCCTCAAGCAGTCTTTCCCAAAAGTGATACCATCCAGTAGGAGGCACTGGCCTAGACTGTGAGGGGCAGTAGTAACCTGTGGTGCAATAGGGGGTCAACTTTCTATTTGTTTGCTTTAAAAGGATTTTAAAAGGATTTCAGATTTCTGAGGAGTACTTGATAAAAAAAAAAAATTTTCCCCTTTGTAAGGGGATGTATGGTAAGCCAAACAAGTTAGGGAACTTTTGTAGTTTTAGTACAATACATTTTTAGGATTTTTGTTGCTGTTGTTTAATGAGCCATTTTATATGCATTTTGTACCAGTAGGTGGATGCTATATAATCATCTCCATATTATATAAGTTACACCAGGATAATGTATATTAGAATGCTTGCATCCTTTGGCCATTCTAGAAGGGTCACTCTTGTCATTCTAGATGATATCAATTGGCTAGTCTTAAAATGCCATTGTAAAATGTACAATATTTAAGACTATCCTATACTGGTATAAGAATAAATCGGTGATTTCCTTCTTACCAGGTTTGTTCTTAATACAAAAGTTAACATGCCACATGAGGACTGCATTACAGCTCTCTGTTTCTGTAATGCAGAAAAATTGGAAACCCCCACCTTAGTCACAGCAAGTAAAGATGGCAACTTCAAAGTATGGATACTGACAGATGACTCTGATATATACAGTAAGTTAAATAATGTCTAAAATAGTCTTTCTCAAAGTGGGTGATACACGGGAATGGTTTCGGGGTATGGTAGTAACCTTGGGCGCAGTTGCAGGTACTTTTTATTTGTCTGCTTAAAGAAGGTGTATCTTAGTAATTTTGTTTTCTTTTTGCAAATGCGGGTTTGGCCAGATTAATTTGGGAATCTCTGGTCCAGAACACGTATAGTTTTCAAGGAGGACATATAGGAGCCAGGAAAATAGTACAGAGCTAAGCTGCCTGCCCTGAATGTGGCCTACTCTACACTTTGAGCTACAGCACTGCATGGTCCCCCACACACCACTGGGGTAATCCCTGACATCGAATCCTCAAACATTTGCATAGTCATCAACCCAGTTGGTCATATTTCCAAGAGACCCCTACATCCCCTGAGCATTACCGAAAGATCCCAGAAAAAAATTATTTTGGTCATACATATTCTCAGTTGATGAGTTTTATGAAGTATTGCCTAATTTTAAATGACTTAAGATTATGGGCCAGAGAAATAGCCCAAAAAAGCTGGAGTGCAGGTGTTCTTTTCAGGAGGTCCCAGTTCAATCCACAGTGCCACGTGGTCCTGCAAGAACAGCCAGGAGTGACCCCTGAGCACAGAACCAGAGTAGCCCCTGGTTTCCGGATGTGGCTTAGGAACCAACAATAACAGCAACAACAATTTTTATCATATTGTAACACACCTTTCCTTCAAAATCTATACTGGTATATTATTCTGGTTCATCTTTGTGAGAATCAAGGAAAAAGAATTTTCAGTCTTCCACTAGGGGGGAGTAAATGTCCCTGGGAAGAGACAGATCTCCGTAGATAGATCTCTGTAAAGTTTGAGGAAGTGGATTTTGTTACTGTTTTGTTTGTTTTTGTTTTGTGTGTGTGTCTCTTTGTTTTTTAATATTTATTATAATTTCTCAGTAATGGCTAGTGTTTATATCATTTCTAAGCTCTGTGGCCTTTTATTACCCTAGAAAATGCTGTTGGTTGGACCTGTGACTTTGTGGGTAGTTATCACAAATACCAAGCAACCAATTGCTGTTTCTCGGAAGATGACTCTCTACTAGCTGTTAGTTTTGAAGAAATAGTTACAATATGGGATTCGGAGACATGGGAGCTTAAATGTACATTTTGTCAACGAGCTGGGAAGATAAGGTAGGTAAATAGTTTGGTGAATTTGGAAAAATATTCTAATACATATGACTAAGTAAGTGCTAGAAATTTATGATTTCTTTAAAAACATATAGATCTGTGGACTTGATAGCTACCCAGAGTACTGGGAAGCTAAATGTTCTTGACATGAAATATGTTCATGGTTAAGCCATTTCTGAAATCCAGATTATACTTAATTTTTTGACTTGCCAATTTGTAAAACATTTTCATGGGTGTGCTGCATAATAGAAGCTACACATAATGGATCTAAATAGTGCTTATCTCAGCATATTCCCATTAAAGCATACTATGCTCAAATCACATTGTTTTCTGAATGCCAAAGGAAAGTTCTCCATCTTACTTGAAGATAAATGAGTATGATGACAAAGTGACCAATGGCTGTTGAAAATTTCTCTAGTTCCCAACATGTCTGATTATAAATTTACTTCATACAACTTAGTTCCAGATTCATACTGAAATTTTTTTTCTAGAGGAATGAGCTTCCAACAGAGTTTTAATAACTTTGTGCACTTCACATACATTTACTCTGTATGTGAAATGTCATAACACACCACATAATAGGTTAAAGAATTGATCATCAGATTTTCCCCAAAGAAACAAAATTAAACTTTTCAGTTTTTACCCTTCAATATCTTTTTTTGTAAGATACTCATGAATAAGAGTATGCATCAATCCAAAATTTGCATTGCATAAAATTAATGCTGTTTCTAAAATTAGCAGCTCTTTATAACTAATTTACTGACTGTTAATGTTCGTTTTAATCTAGGCACCTTTGCTTTGGGAGATTGACTTGTTCAAAGTACCTTCTTGGTGCTACTGAAAGTGGCATACTTTGCTGTTGGAATCTGCTCAGTTGTGCATGTAAGGCTTGGGGGGGGGGGGGGGATTGGTTGGTTTTGCTACAAAATAACTTGGTGAGGCATATGAAAGTGGCCCTTTAATTTTTGCATTTTAAGACTTCTGAGTCCTGTCTTTGTCTTTGCCTTTAAAGTACATGGTTTTTAAATATCACTTCGCAGTATTAAAAATTTGGAATACTGGAAGAAAATAGGTATAAGCTGCCTAAAGTAAATTTGACTTCTGTTATTCTTATTTTTCCTTGTTTTTGATGGATATGACTTTTGGTTGCCTTTCACGTTCTCTGTCTTCATTACAATTTGAGGAATTTTTTTGCTTATTTGTAATTCACATTAACTTGTAGTTTGTCTCAACATCTTATTCTCCTAACAAATGTTGATTTGGTAACATTTTACTCACTGAAATATATGATTGACAAGCATATTGACTGCATAATAATAAATGTGTGCCTGCTAGCTTGCTTTCTTTTCTTTTTTCCTTTTTTTTTTATTTCCTGCAACCATTATTTATTAACTTTTAGCAGCAGAAAAGTGGTTGCACTAAAATAGTAACCATTGCATAATGTATGGATGGAGATGTTTGTTGTTCCTTGGGGCCTTGCTCCTCACTTTAGTGTAGCCTCCTACAGTTTATTTCAGTGTGTTGCCATGTATTCCTTGGAAGCATAAAATCTCTCTGCCTGGAAACAATAGAATTGTTCGCTAAGATGAAGAGCATTATTTTGATAGTTTTTAAAGAGTTTTGGTAAATCTTTTCTTTAACAAGAAGTTGCTTTTTTGTTTGTATGTTTCCCAGTGGAATGGAGTGCAAAATTAAACATAAGAGTCATGGAGTCTGATCCTAATTCAGAGAATATTGCGGCAATCTCGAAGTCCTCGGTGGGTTCAGACTGTAAGTACAGACCATACTTTCTCTTTAGACATAGTTTGGGGTTTTTAGTTTGTTTGTTCCAATTCTCTCTGGCCATTTCTCTTGTCTTCAACTCTTACCCCTGGCAACCACCAGGCTGTTTACTATGTTATTTGATAGCTTGAAATTTTGGGGTTTTTTTCTGACTTAATTCACTTCACATTTCATTTAACAGGACATTTTACTTAACAAGGTCCATCCTATTCACAAATGGGCAAATGTTTTTTAATTGCTGAATAATACTCCATTATAGTTATGGGTTGCTTAACAATGGAGATACATTCTGAGAAATTGTATCTTTAGGCAGTTACATCATTATGTGAATGCCCTAGAGTATAATTAGAAACCTAGGTGCATTTTCCTGATGGTTAAAATAATAGTGAGCAGCTTTTTTTTTTTTAAGGAATGTATCAATTCGCATCTTTGTGCCCTTATTTAATTGGGTTGTCTGTTCTTTATTAAATTCTTTATATATTTTGGATATTCATCCCTTGTCAGGTAAATGATTTGCAAAAATGCTTCTTTCCAATCAACAAATTGCCTCTTTGTTGCTGAGTCATTGCTACATTTTTTATTTTACTCCTACTATGTGGTTTTCTGATTTGCCTGATGTATAAGAACTACTTAGCAAACCTTTTGATTTTTTCAAAAAAGAATTTGTCCCACATAGATTAAACTACAGGCCACATAATAAGTACACTATAGATTATTCTTCCATGCACATCTTTCGGGGTTCAGGGGACTCCTATGTGCTCTCAGAATGTCCAGGGGACTCTCCTGCTGTTTCTCAGTCAAGCTGGCTGGTGATTAAAGGCTAGGGCTCAAACTGCTCAGGCCCCGCAGTGCTGGAGAATCTCCTAAGAGCTGCACTGTATGTTGAAGATTGAACTGGACTTGGCTGAATGCAAGACTTGCACCTTAACCCCTGTACTATCTCTCCTGCCCCACACTGCTGTCTTGAACCCACATTCCTAAACCATGTTTTGAGATTTAGAAGTCTATCACCCAAATTTTCTTCTTATCTACCATCAGATCAGATGTTCATTGAAGCCATTTTATCAGATCCTTTCCTTTCTTGAATTCTTATTAGGTATAATAACTTACATCTGCATTTATACTTAGATCTAGGGAAACTCCAGTACACCCGCTGTTTCTCAATATACTAGTTCTTAACTTAACCTCTTGTCAAGATAGATTTCACCCCTTTTCCAATATTCTCAACTTCCCTAAGAAGGTTTGATCAGGGGCTAGAGTGATAGCACAGTGGGTAGGGCATTTGCCTTGCACATAGCCGACGCGGGTTCGATTCCCAGCATCCCATATAGTCCCTCAAGCACTGCCAGGAGTAATTCCTGAGAGTGCTTGAGCCAGGAGTAACCCCTGTGCATCGCTGCATGTGACCCAAAGCGCAGGAAAAAAAAAAAGAAGTTTTGATCATTCCTCTGCAATGTTCTTAAGGCACTTTCCACATATATCTTTATTCCAGTGTTTAAGACAAACTCTTTTGATGCTGCTTTCATGATGTATTTGTGTTTGCTCAAGCTCTGCCCTTCCTTCTTCTTCAAAACCATTGTTTATAAACTGCTTAGTATGCGGTAGGCACCTAGTAGATATCTGTTAAATTAAAGCCTAAAGTAATCATGACCTTAGCCATTTACCCAATGATATGTTGAGGATTGGTGTAATCTACTAATTTGAAACAGAACTTATCTTTTGAGATAAAATGTTGTCTGTCTTTTTTTTCTAGTGTTTGTATTTAAGCCTAGTGAACCAAGGCCATTGTATATTCAAAAGAACATCTCTAGAGAGGAAGTTCAGTGGGGAGTGTTTGTTCCACGTGATGTTCCTGAATCTTTTACCTCAGAAGCTTACCAATGGCTCAACAGATCACAGTTTTACTTCCTAACAAAATCACAGGTAACCTTTGCCCCTCAAGAAAAGACTGTCACTTTACATGTGTTTTTTTCAGTTGCTTCACTATTTGAGAGTAATAATCAACCTGTGACAAAATGGTTTCATTAGAGGTTTCCTTCCTAAAAGAAGCATTTCTGTCAGTGGTATTCAACCTTTTTATACCTCTGACAGGTATCAATCAGTGTGAAAGTTAGAAATTGAAACTTCTTTTTGTGAGCCCAATACAGAAGTATTACTCATGTGTGTTGACTTCACATTAATTTCTCCATTAAAAGTCTTCAAAGACATTTATTGTTTACATTAACTCCTTAATAGTGAAAAATCAGAAGACAAAATATTTTAAAGTTTTATTTCTTATACTATTAGAATTGTTAGCTGTTTTTTAAATGTATTTTATTTTGCATTAGAAAATTTACTAATAGTTTTTAAATATGATGTCTCACTATAATCTTATACCTGTCACAATAAACTAAATATGCTTTAAAGCATATGTTATTGTCCCATAGAAAATACCAAGATGAAAAATTTGATCTCATTTTTTAGTTTTTTTTATTTGCACTCTATACTTTCTCTTTTGCATCATTCATTGATTTCTCTTTTTCAGAGTTTGTTGACATTCAGTACAAAGTCTCCAGAAGAGAAACTGACACCAACTAGCAAACAGGTGTGTTTTAACCACTCGTTGATAAAACCCATCCTACAAAAATAAGGTGATTTATTTAAACTCAGATGTAAGAGCAACGTTTCATCTGCCCTAAGATGAAATTTAAAACCATACAGTTATAAACTACTTGCCTGGTGAAGTTGCTCTTTTAAAAATGTAGTTTTCGTTTGTAGTATCAACATGGACTTAAAATACGATTTAGAGAGTCAAATAATTTCTATAAGACTTCAGGGAAAACATTTCAGATACCACTGTCCTTACCACAAAGATAATTACTCTAAATTGTTGGCTGGAGTTGTTTTTCTCCCTGCCAGTATCAGTGACATACTTTTATTGCATTCTGGATTTTTCACATTTTGGTACAATGAGTTAACTCTGATCTGTTGAAGTTAAAGTTTTAATTGGTTTTCTTAACACCACTATTCCCATTTTCCCAGCATAGATCAGTCTTAAATTAGGTCAGCATTCATTATAACTATGTAAACGCAATTCATAGCCAAGCCAATGTGGCAATAAATAAGTTGTTTATCCTTTTGTGACCTACTTTTGTTTTCTTTAGAGTTAATGTTTGCCTCAGTTTTTGTTTGTTTTCTTTATTTACTTCTCACCTGATCATCCCCAAACTCCACTCAACCTGTCTAAACCTCTCCATATTTTCATACACATTAGAGATTCTTCTGTGTGTTTTGAGAAATATTTCTTGGTACCTCTAACTTTCTTTAATACTTATGACTACTCTATAAATCTACAGCACATTAAGCACATTAGTCATATTAAGGTCTGTATTCCCCATCATCCTAAAGATTTATTTCATCTCAGATAGAACATCTTTTTGTTGTAATTTTTTTTTGGTGGCAAGGGATGGATGATCTCCCTTCCTTTGGTAAAGCACAAAACAGTGCCTGGAGACAAATATAAGATCTTACATGTTTGTAGTATATTTTTCCTCCTTCACTTGATTGAAGAACTAGAAAAAGTGTTCTAGATTGAAAATTAATTTTTTTTTTAGATCTTTGAAAATAGCATTTTGCGATAGTTTTTGATGTTACTGAAAGTTTGATACTGTTCTTAGTCTTGATCCTAATTTATAGCCTGACCTGTTTCCTCTGAAAACTAATTATATTGAACAGGGTTTGTGTGTGTGTGTGTGTGTGTGTGTGTGTGTGTGTGTGTGTGTGTGTGTGTCTCCCACCAACCCCCATTTAACATTTTTTTGTTGTTCATCTGCTGTATTCCAGAGACTGTTCTAGATATTTAGGATTTATCAATAAGCATATTAAATAACTGAAGCGTATAGTATTTTAGAAGGTAATAATGGTGCCGGGCAGGTGGGGGGGTTCCGGGGGGGAACAAAGGAAAAAGGATGGTAGATGGAATGTGTCTTGACATTCTCAATAGAACTGTCAGTCAAAATCAACCTTAATGAAGACTTCAGCTTTTTCCATTGGTGGGGGTTGGAGTTGGGGGGTGATCAGGGAACAAAGAAATACCTTTGTCTTTATTTTCTGTTCTTTTCTGACAATTTTTACTTAGTGTTGGACCTTCTAGAATGGTGCTCTAATAATTGCTGATTTCCTCCTCTCTTTTTCTCATTATTTGTTGTTGGTGGGTTGGTGTAGGGTTTGTTTGTTTTTTTTTTTTATTAATTTCTATCATTTTTCTTAAGTCTTTTTTTTTTTCATTTTTGAGATTTTCATACAAGTCTAGTGATTCTTGGCTTTCAGTTCTTAATGTTGGGGGGGTGGGGACAAATAACTCATTTTGAAGTTTTTTGCGGAGGTATGAAAATGGCTTCAGTATTTGGCTGAGTTTTTTTTAAAAAGTTGCCAATGTTGTATTTGTGTACTTTTTTCTCCTAGACTGGTTAGACTTCCTAGTCCTGGTTTTTACCTCAAGGGCATCACCTGAACTAGCTGTATTATAAAAAGCACTCTTTTAGGAAGTACAAGTGTCTCCAGTCTTAAGACACTACCCCCTTCTTCACCCCTGCAGTCCCGTTAAAGATACCTTCTCAGCTTTTAGGCACCGGGATTGACAGAGTTAATAATAACAACACTCAGGCATTTAGTGTTTTAACTCTTCCACCAGTTATCAGTGTCCTTCCACCAATATCCCAAGGTCTCCTTCCACTCCTAACCCCCAATTTCTTAGCAAGCTCATTTAAAAAATTTAACTATTACAGTTTGGATTGCATCTTGGCAGTATGTGAATCTATGAATCTCAGTATCTCCTGTTAACTTTTCCCACAGGAAGTGGGCATCTGAACCTCAGTTATTTTACCTATAAAACAAATCAGGCCAGATAATGCCTAAAGCTCTGCTCACTGGTCCTTCTAATTCAAGTTATTTACTTCTCTTTGTCTTGAATTCTTACAGCTACTAGCAGAGGAAAGTCTTCCAACCACCCCATTCTATTTTATATTGGGAAAGCACAGGCAGCAGCAGGAGGAAAAATTAAATGACACTTCGGAAAATCAACTAGTACAGCTACCTTTAACAGAAAATATACCTGCAATTAGTGAGGTAAGTACTTAATAAAGCAAACAAAGAACATAAACGAATTCAAGTTCTATAAATTAGTAGTTTTTAATCCAGTTTAACAAATTAATTTTGAATAATTATTTGTATACTGTGTAACTCAAGTACCCAAATCAAACTGTAAATTTAAGATTTCAGGTTAGTGTTACCTGACCTAGAGGGGTGGGGAGGAGAGGATGGTGGTTTCATAAATATAGGAAGGCAAGAAGCACTTGTCCTTTGGTTGGCTCCCGATCTTTTTCAATGAAATTTCATTTTTCTCTTTTTGCTCTAGCTTCTCCACACTCCTGCACATGTGCTGCCTTCAGCCTCTTTCCTGTGCTCCATGTTTGTTAATTCATTGCTGCTGTCTAAGGAGACTAAGAGGTAAAGTAGTTCTTCAGCTGAGTTTATAATACTCTGGGGCAATAGGATGATCAGTATTACTTGTTTAGATTGTTTTGCCATTGATTTTATTTCAGTGCTAACATGTAAAGGATAAAGGGTTATTAACTCAACCAAATAAAGTAACAGTGAAAATTAGTGTCAGAAACAGATCTTTTATACATTTTAAGGATTTGGTATCTAATCTAACTTAGGTTTTTGTTTTTGTTTGGGGGCCACACCCAGCAGTGCTCAGGGCTTACTCCTGCTCTCAGGAATCATTCCTAGTGAGGCTTGGGGAAGAGCGTGGGGTACCAGAGATTGAACCCAGGTCAACTGAGTGCAAGGCAAGCAGTCTACCTGCCTTACTATTGCTCTGAGCCTGCCAGCTTACATTTTTTTGTTTTGTTGCATTTCTGCGTGAGTGTATTGAGTAAGAAAATTGTTTAGAAATACATTTTTAGTCATTTTTAATTTTTCTTCTTTAACTTAAGTGTTGAAGAAATGTCTGGTGACGTAGACATGGATGAAGAAAAAGAAAGTGATGATTCTGATGAAGAAAATCATTTTACTGAAAGTGTTCAGGACACAGAAAACACAGACTTGAGAGAAGACATCATACATCAATTGTCAAAATCTGAAGAAAAAGAACTGAGAAAATTTAGGAAAATAGACTATAGCTGGATTGCTGCTATTTAAAACTGGGAGGCGAAAAAGGTTGTCGCACTTTTTATTGTATATTGATACTCCAGAAACATCTATTTTAAAGTTATTTCTTTTCTAAAAATATTAAATTGCTTTACTTTTCTTTAATATAAAGTTATATTCTCACCGTGCTTGTGTTTTCTGGGTACATATTCACATGTACATCGCCTCATTTTGATTTTGAGTCACACATCTGCCTTATTAAGTAAATGTTTCCTTTGTAGGTGAGGCAGCTTGTGTTCCTTTACCTGAAATTCAGAGATAGAAACTTGCTGATTAAATTTAACATTGAAATTTTATTTAGTTGCCAAATATTAGTTAAACTTATATGAGCCCTCGTAATTCGTTTACTTCTGTTAAGTGATCTTTTCTTATTTTCCCTAATGTATCCCACTATAATGTGAAAAATGCTAAATTCAAGTCATCTAGGCCTTAGCCCTTTTTTTTTCCAGAGAAGGGCTTGCCTACAATATTTATTTTAAAAATTCATGATAATCTTGGAAGATATTATAATCAGCCAGTTATATTTAAGTATGTTGAGTGAAAGAACTGCTTTTTTTTTTATTATATCACCATGAGATACAGTCACAAAGCTTTCATGATTGAGTTTCAGTCATATAATGATGGCGTACCCATCCCTCCACCAGTCTGCATTTTCCACCACCAATGTCCCCAGTATCTCTCCTGCCACCTCCAACCCATCCTACCTCCTGCGTCTGTGGCAGGCACCTTCCTTCTTTCTCTGTACTTGAGCAGTATGGTTTGTAGTACAGATACTAAGAGGCCATCATGTTTGGTCCTTTATCTACTTTAAAATTATCTTCTCTGCCAGCACATGAGGCCAGCTTCCAAATCATGGAGTAATCCTCCTGGCCTTTATCTCTACTGTCCTTGGGTGTTAATCTCATATTATTTTATATTCCACAAATGAGTGCAGTCACTTTATGTCTGTCCCTCTCATACTGACTCACTTCACTTAGTATGATACTCTCCATGTCCATCCATTTGCAGATCTCCTGGCTTCACTCTAACACAGCTGCATAGTATTCCATTGTGTAGATGTACCACAATGAGAGAACTGCTTTTAAATCAGTTTTACATTACTGGTTGAAAAGAATCCAAATCTATGTGTTATGTTAAAGTGGTATGTTAAAGTTCTCAAATAAAAAATTAATATAAAAGTTAACATCAAAAAAGTTAAATACACAAATCATAAGAGCGCATCTTAATGAATATTCACAGTTGTTACAAATGCTTTTTTGTGTTCAAGGGAGTATTCAAGTTAGGTCTGTCATCACAATTTTAGACTATTTCATCATCTCAAAGCTCATCAGAGTTTGGAAAATGGTTCAAAAGTCATTTGAGAGTCTCACTCCAAGCCCTGGCACTGTCCCACCATGGTCCCCCAAGCACTACTAGGTGTGGCCCAAAAAAGAAAGAAAATGTTGAATTAGCAACCACTTCCCATTTCTCACAACTTAAGTAACCACTAATGTATCTATCTCTTGAGATTTGTCTATTCTGAACTTTGTATGTAAGGAATCCCTTAATATGTGTTGCCTTAGCACATATCAGTTATTACTCATTCCTTTTGCTTTCATTTCTTAAAGGTGGATATACTGAGTCACCTAATAACTAAATTTAATCTCTTAAAAGAACCTTGACATTTTACAAATCAGGTTTTCCCTTTGAAGAATTAGCCTTTGAGATTTTTTCTTTCTGCTATTTTGCTTTGTGGTTTAACTTGCTGTGGTGGAACTATTAACCTCTTAATTGCTCACCTATATAATCTCTTGTTTTTAAAGAATGCCCTGAAGCTTGAATTCCTGTTTCAAGTAAGTCAGCTCTATTCTTATGGACTGTCTTTTCTTGCTGTTGGGCAAAATCTCACAGTACATAAACTGGAGGCACTTTGGTCCCTTCTCTGAGTGATACCCCCTTAGGAAAGAATGAAGAAATGCAGTAGCCTCTGCTTTGCTAATCTTTTCTAACAAGTTTTACTTCTTTGAACAAACTGAGGTGCAGAGGTTATCAGATCTCGAGTATTGTCCACCTGCTGTTCTTGAAATAGAAGCTCCAGTAGGAGTTCGTTTATAGGATGGAAGACCAAAGTCTTTCAACTGTACTTATGTGGATTTTAGCTTCTGCACTGTAGAGTGAGGCAGTAAGAAAGACTAGTTGCTGTCCTAGAGGCTGAGAGGAGGAGGAGGAGGCTTCTCTTGGCCATGCCTCCTGAGGTGGACAACTGTCTAACTGGAATGGGTTGGAGAAGGAGCTGTATATCTATAGGATTTGTGCCACTTTTCTCAATTAAATCTGGGATTCTCAAATTAAATTTTCTGATTATCATCTGTATGCCCTCACAACAATATTGTTTTTGGTACTTTGAAGTACCATGGTTCTAAGAAGCAGGATCCTGTTGTTTCCTTATACTTCATTCCAAAATAGAGGTTGCCTCCTATACATTCTTTTTCATTTCCTTCCCTCACCCTCGCCACAATTTGAAGAAATCAAATTTGTCCTGCCAAGTTTCTCACTGATCTTACAGATTAATATGGATAGGTTTTGTTTTTGTTTTTTATTAGTGAAACACCATGAGGTACAGTTGTAGACTTACAAACTTTTGTGCTTGGGTTTCAGTTATACAATGATCGAGTACCCATCCCTCCACCAGTGCCCATTCTCCACCACCAATGATCCCAGTAGCCCTCCCCGCACCCCCCCCCCCCCAACTCGACCTCTGTGACAGGGCATTCCCTTTTGCTCTCTTTCCTTTAGGGTGTTGTAGTTTGCAGTAGAGGTATTGAGTAGGCATCGTGTTTGATCTGTAGTCTACTTTCAGCACGCATCTCACATCCCACGCGAGTCCTCCAAACATCCTTTACTTGGTGTTCCCTTCTCTGAGCTGCCTTTTCCCCCCAGCATGTGCTGCCAGTTTCCAAGCCATGGAGCAGACATCCTGGTACTTATCTCAACTATTCTTGGGTGTTCGACTCCCATTCTGTTTCTTCATATTCCCCAGATGAGTGCAGTCTTTCTATGTCTGTCCCTCTCTTTCTGGCTTATTTCACTTAGCATGATACTTTCCATGTAGAACCACTTATATGTAAATTTCATGACTTCATTTTTTTCTAACAACTGCATAGTATTCTATTGTGTAGATGTACCAAAGTTTTTTTAATTAGTCATCTGTTCTCAGGCACTCAGGTTTTTTCAAAATTTTGGCTATTGTGAACAGTGCAGCAATGAACATAGAAGTGCAGATGTCATTTCGACTGTACTTTTTTGCCTCCCCAGGATATATTCCCAGGAGTGGTATTCTGGGTCAAATGGGAGCTCAATTTCTAATTTTTTGAGAATTGTCCATACTGTTTTCCAAAAGGGCTGAACCAGTCTGCATTCCCACCAGCAGTGAAGGAAGTTTCCTTTCTTGCCACATCTGCACCAACACCAGTTGCTTTTGTTCTTTTGAATGTGGGCCAGTCTCTGTGGTGTGAGATGATAACTCATTTTTGTTTTGATCTACATAGAAACTTTCTCAAAGAAGAAATCTGAATGACAAAAAGGCACATGAGAAAATGCTCTACATCAATATGGATAGTTTTTAACTTGATCCTCTGCCCTTTGTGAATCTTGTATGTTGGTAGTGGCAATCATAGAAATACTGGACTGCAAGATCTTTACAATTGTAAATATTCTAATAGTTCCAAGTTTTGAAAGTCAGATGAATTTGATACTAGTGACATTTTATTAAGTCCCATATAGCAAATATTATTTGAACATGTATTTTCAGTTAAAAATGATTTATACTATTCCCCCCACTATTGTCTTCAAAACCTGTTAAGTTTCATATATATAAGGCACATCATAATTTTAAACAGCAATATCTCCAGTACTTAATAGTTCCACATGGCTAGTGGTTACCATTTTGAACAGCCCAAGTCTAGCGGCTAGATGAATTTGAAAAATTTAACTGGAGGGGAAAAGTTTACCTGAGACCAGGTTTGTAGCTTGATGTTAGAGCATCTGCTCTAAGGCAGAATTTAGTCCCCAGTACCATCCCCATGCAGGTGCTATTGGGTGGTACTACAATGCCATACAGGTGCCATTGGTGGTACTGCAATTTCATGCAGGTGCCACTGGGTGGTACTACAGTGCCATGCAAGTGCCATTGGGTGGTACTGCAATGCCATCTAGATGCCATTGGATGGCCATTTGTGATCCCCAATTTTGTGACCGTGTGTGGGCTAGCACACTGCAACCAAGTATATCTGCACTGCAGCCAAAGTGTGAGTGAGCACTGCAACTTGGTGACCCACCCCACCCCTGGCTCTTGGTAACAGCAAAGAAAACAGAGGAGAAGAAAATATTAAAGTTTTGGTCAAGTATTCATTTTAGTCTGAATCTGCTTCTTCTGTACCTCTGTCACATAGTGACGTAATCACTAATTTCGTTTTATTTTGTCATATTCACCAACTTAATACCCATCTTCCAAGATTACTACACCATGTTTGATGGGGTTCAGATATGGTTTGAACCATGGGAACACCTGCAAGGGCAATTAGAGGCCGCCCCAAAAGCATCTATCCATCTTGGAGAGCCTGGCAAGCTACCGAGAGTATCCTGCCCGCACAGCAGAGCCTAGCAAACTATCTGTGGCGTATTTGATATGCCAAACCAGTAAATACAATGGGTCTTATTCCCCTGACCCTGAAAGAGCCACCAATATGACAGCGTTAAGAAGGATGAGGAAAGAGAGACTGATAAAATCTCAAGGCTGAACTAGGGTGCCAAAACAAAAAATGACAAAAATGACTGTCTGTACTTTCAATACACATACACTGGCATCGGATGCATCCATCGGGGACCTGATGGTGCAAGCGCGAAATATCAAGTACAACATTATTGGACAGACCAAGACGAGAAGGCATCAACCTCATCACGCCATTTTCAACACGAGATTAGAACTGTTCTTCAAAACATGCGACAAAAGAGGTGTCAGTGGTGTCAATATCCTTGTCAACATGAACTTGGCCATGAGCATTGATTCATTTGAATGCCTAACAACCCGAATCAGACGATTACACTTGAATAGATGTGGCTCACTGCCGGCAGCTTCTATCTTTGTTGTCTACACAACATCCAATTATGATGAAGAAATTGAGAAGTACTACATGGATCTGGAGAAGTTCTATAAAGAACACCACACCTTCTACAAGATCATTGTTGGTGATTTTAATGCCAAGATAGGACCAAGAAGATCAGCCAAAGAACTCCACATCAGGAGTTCTAGAATGGAACAAACAGTGTGAGAGACTATCTGAGCTCTTTTACACTTTTGTGGCAACATGGGAAGATGGCGTCGTTGACAACGTTGACGAGGAATATGATTGACTGGT